ATAATCATGAATTTTTATTTTATTTTATGAATATGGTTGTCATTTTTTTAATTTTGATTTTGATTTTCAAATTTTAAACAACAAAAATTAACAATTGAAAACTAAAATTAATAATTAAATTGATAATTTATTGAGTATAAGATTTTAAAATTAATATCAAAAACTTCAAGCTTAATTAGCTTATAAAATTTTTTAACTTTATTTTAAGATTTTTAAATCTTTAAAATTAAAATTTAAAATTTAAAATCACAATCAGGCTAAGTAGAACAAAAGTAAAAAAGAATTCAAATTACACCAAAAAAAAAAAAAAACTCAAGAACACCTTGACCATTCAAACCTTTCAATAAGTAAAGAATGAATGAACTTCTAGAGTTTCAGAAGTCCAGATTCTAAAAAGTAAACAAAAGTGAACCCTCTCCCCGTCTAATATGGTCTGTAGACCATTTAATTTATTATCTTATCATAAATCAAATAACAAATATTAGATCTTGCCTATAAAAGAATAAAATAAAAAGAGAACGAGAAGACCAGAGTAAAATCAGAATTCTTAGCATACAAGACAAACCATGTTCTTAAAAAAATTTGAGGTATTAATGTAAGATTCCTTTCTCGACCACTCTGAGTATTAGCCATAACCTTGGAAAACTAAGCATAAGATAAAATAAATAATACTAATTCTTCTTCTACTGACCAAAATAGATGCTTCCACGCTCCATATTTTGTCCTCATCAAATCTCTTATGTTTTAAGCTTAATCCTTGTTTTTTTTTTGAAAAGCAAAACATTTTTTTTTAAGCTTAATCCTTGTTCCCGAGAATGGTTGACATTTGATCACATTACTATAATCCTCACTTCTTAATTACTTGATCAAGTGCATTTGTCCGTCCTCTATTTCTGTTCCGCGTCGGTGGTTGCGATATTTTTTTAAAATTCCATTTAATACCATAAACATTAAGGAAAAAACACACATCACAAAATCCTGCTCACTTCATTGCTTCCAATGCTGTCGGGAACCCTAGGAGAAGCCTGTATATACATGAAGCATCAAGTATTAACTCCATATTTAAATTCAGATATACATGAAGCATCAAGTATTAACTCCATATTTAAATTCAGATATACATGAAGCATCAAGTATTAACTCCATATTTAAATTCAGATATATGTTTACTTTTACTGGGAAATTTGATTTTGAATTTTAAAGAATTGTACCATTAGAATTACATTGAATGTAAATTATATAATATAAATTATTAAATAAAGCACACCCTTTTAATTTATTGATCTATAGTTTACGGTTCTAATGGTAAAACATCAAATAGATATCCACATCTCTACAATCTGAAGGTGGAAGTAAGTGCTCCGCGTGGAGCGTAGTGAAAGATGTTTGGAAGGGGCCGGGGTCCTAGTATAGAAATGTCCTAGTAATATAAAAAGAAATATGTAGGGGAGGGGGAGCAAGGTGAGCTTTTCAATGGATAGGAATTTTAAGATGTATGTCATTTTTTTCCATGGAGATCAGTTCGCCATGGCATCTTGTTAATCTCAAGGTGAGATTATAGGATGTAGACAATGTGATGCCTAGCAATTGCCATTCTAATGAGCTGGCTAAAGACATTATACCATCCGCAAATGCAATGCATCTATGTTCTAACATAAATATACATATTTTAATTTCAATTTACAAAGTTTCGGCTTATTTAATTCACTTAATTAAATATTAAGTCGAGAAATTAAGTAAGGTCGTTTTATTAGCTAGAGAGCGGGAATTAAGAGGCTACATCTTTATATCTTTTAGCGGGCATTTCATGGGGGAGTTTAAGAACATCCACTGGTGTTTACTAGCCTCGAACAACTCTAGCTAATTAAAAGATCCGTCACATGAGGAAGGAGAGTTCAAAACCCTAAAAGGGAATCTTTAAGATCTCGATTAACTTGGTGAATTAAGTTCCTTAAACTCATGCGTGTCGTAAGATTTGGTTACACTATGAAGCCGACGAGTGTGATGCACTCAAATTCTTGCTCTTTTTTTTTTTTTTTTTTTAAAAACAAAAGGACAGATTCTTCGTATGAATTAATTTTTTTGTCGAATTATTGGTTCAACATTTTTTACTATGTTAGAAATTGAAGGACATATAGGTGGGAAAGGGTTTGAGGATGAGAGGATTATTCTTTGTTATATATGTAGTTTATTATAATTTATATCCGGTGTACCTAAAAGGAAAAATTGAAGGGCAGTGGGGACCTAAGTTTTACGTGAAGAAAGGACATAGGATATGGGGGTGACCCTAAAGAAGAAGGGCTCCACAAAAGTAGAGAGCTTATATGGTAAAGGTATCTCTTACCAATGCCCAGAGAGGCCCTCTGGGTTTTAAACAAAGATGCTAGAAAAGGCTTTCATCATCTTTCAAGTAATTGATTTTTGCTTTATTCATGAAAAGAGGTAAAAAGAAAAAAATAATGAAATTCTTTATCTCACAAGCTATGCCACTATTAATTCTATATAATTAATGCATATTCTAGGCACTAATATAATTTATAAATTAACTTTTTCTTTCAGTTTTATTTATTCATGTATTGGTTAGGCATACTAAAATAATTAAAATTAAAGGACCCTAATAAGGACAGAAAAAAAAAAAAAAAAGGAAAAATCGTGAGAGTCTCAGATTAAACAAAAGTCAAAAGTTAAAATCAACTTTTGCGAGCTAGTTTAGGGGAAGCAGCAAGGTTTTTCGAGTTTGTAGGGTGTAGATTTCCAGATTGATTATTTCATCATTTTGGAAGCTATGCTTAGGGTGGGGAGATGCATGGATAAGAGTTCTGGTTTCAATTAGCCATGTTTTGATTATTGTTTGATTGCTAGATTATTCTTTCTTCCTGCCAAACTTATGACCCTGTTTTAGATTGCTGCTACTCTTAAAGTTTCAGTGCAGTTATTGCTAGGCCAAATAAAGTCAAATCTTCATTCTGCCTCTAAACTTTTTAATTCGAATTTTGCTCCTTCACTTTCATTCTTAAATCTCAATAAAAGTTACTACAGTGGGTTGTTATACTTTATGAAGATGTAACTAAAATCTTGATTAAAATTTATAAAGAAGCAAAAATGTAAAATCAGACTGTAGTTGATTCTTTAAAAGCAACAATTTAATTTTTTTTAGTATATTTAATGATGAATTATATAAAAGAGATTAGTTTTTTTTATTTTCTCAAATCTTTTTTCATTTGACTTAAAATTTAAAATTTAAAATTTAAAATTTTAATTAATTAAATCAACTCTTTAGAGACAACAACTGAATTGTTTAATACTAGTAAATGCTTCTTTTTGGGTGTGGTACATATTAAATTATTTACTTCCTCTCACAATTTATATGACTCGTCTACGCTTTTATGGTGATTCTTCAAGGATTTGGTATCAAACACTTTTGAGTTAATAGTTCATATTATTTGATTAATAAGTTATATATTAAATCTTTTCATAATAAAAAAAAATAATTGACCGACAAAATAAGAGTCGAGACGATAGGTCCACCTCGCTATTGCCTTGCCTTAATCAATCGACCCCATTGCATTACTATTATACTATATTTCTCATCTATTTTCATGTGTTCAAAATGAGTCACATGAGAAGTCTCCTGTAGCAAATTAAGCCAAACATATCCCTGTGATGGAGTATATTCATATTAATGTATGTTACGTACAATTTTACAACCTGCCCAAATCAAAGAAAGTACTCTCTGGAGACGTGGTTGCTGTTATTGTTACATACTAAAAGTGCTAAAGTTAATATTGTTTTTCTATATATAATTAATTATAATATTTAAAATTAACATATACATTAATTTTAATTTCTTAAATAATAGATATAAGTTGTTTTATTATTTATCAATTAACAGCTATAATTATACCAATAAAAATTTAATTAAATTGATACTCATTAATTTAAAATTTTTTATTTAGAATTAATGTTAAAAATTAAAATTTCTTATATTGTCAAATTAATAATTAATTTTTTAATATATAAAAATAAATTGATAATTATAATTATTAACTACTTTTAATAATCAAATTAATATTTAAAATTTTATATAATTTTAATAATTTATTACATGGCTATATCCGTGGCCAAGACATAATCGTACAACATTTGGGGAGGTTGTGACCGCTGCCTATAAGTGTGTCCTCTGTTGATGCATGATAGGGGCACACCACAATGCGATATGACGTATTTGCCATTGCTGTGACCTTTCCCAGCATTGTTTAGGGAAAAGGTCAATTTGACTTTTTCCTCTCTACCCTCCCTTGGCAAGGACCATTTTACAACCACTCAAAAATCGTAGATCTAATTTCTCGCGATATTATGAAGAATATATATACGGTATCTGTATATAATCATGAGAAAATGGATTAAAGGTCATAATGTGGGCCATGTGTTAAATAAAAGATGGGTAATTAAAACCAAACATGGTTCTTGGGAATTAGGGTTTCATTATAGTTTTTTTTCTTGTTAGGGACCAATTGGGTTAGTGGTAGTTCTGGATAATTGTGTTTTATTGTATAATTTAAAATAAAAAAATGTGAGTAATTTTTTAAGCAAATATATATTAATATGAATAAACAACAAATTAGGAAACAGAATATTAATCATGAAAGAAGAATTGGTTTTTTCCCCTTTTTTTTTTCTCTGAATTTAGGATTTGTGAAAAGGAGCACCAAGCTAGTGTTCGAAAGCAGAGAGTGTACATGTGTGTGGGTTAGAAAGGTAAGAATGAGTTGTTGAGGAACAAATGCACACGTTAAAGTCTATTTATCTCCTCCAAAGAAAACGAGGGAGAAAAAGGAGAAAAAAAGAAAAAGAAAAGGGTAGTAGTAAAATGGAATCAAGTCCCAAACTTGTTTACTTTTCTTCCTCATCTTGTTCTCTCTCACACTCTAGCATCCTACCCCTCACGTCCATGAAAACAAATACCCCTTTTCTTTCTCTCCCCATATAGCCAGCCCCTCAAGTGTCATTTTCTCACATATACTTCACACAAAAGATACAACCATTCACTTCATACCTTGTCATTTCTTCTCCTTCCTCTCTCTCAGTCTCTAACTCTCTGCAACCACTACCCCCATCAAAATTGATCAAACCCATCTCAAGAAAACCCCCAGAAATCTCTCCTCAAAAATACCCAAAACCCTTTTTGCTGCATAGATCATGATATCCATTAATCCTTCATAGCCAGCTGCGTAGTTATTGTATAATAACACCACAAGAAGAAGAGGAGGGAAGAAGAAGAAGAAGCAGTACAAGAGAAAGGAGGAGAAGGAGGAAAAGAGAGGAAGAGAGAAGGGTTTTTAATTTTTGTTTTGTTGGGTTTGTTTCTGAGGATGGAGCTATTTCCAGCACAACCAGACTTATCCTTACAAATCAGCCCACCAAACAGCAAACCGGCGTCAACATGGAGGAGACCAGGAACAGAAGAGGACATAAATTTGGGGTTCTGGAAGAGAACTTTGGACTCAAGGAACTCCATGTCTTCAACGGCAAAACCTGATACCTGTTTTGATCTTTCCTTATCCGATCAGAGGGTTTCAGAGTCTAACTCAAACCAACTTCACCGCCTCCAAAATGGTAACCCCAACTGCAATGCTAACCTCTTTCATTCCTATCATCAAAACCACTATAGTACTCTCCACCAACACCACCCGGTACTGTATCAACATCAACAAGGGTCATTAGGACAAGACCACGGTTTCCTAAGACCCATAAAAGGAATTCCTGTTTACCAAAACCCTCCTCCTCCCACCGTGCATGCTTTCCCGTTTGCCCCGCAGCGTTTGGATTCTCCTTCTTCTTTGGGAACTATTAATAACAACAACACAAGCAGCAACTTGAGCCCTTTCCAGATAAGATCGAGATTTATGTCGAGATTTCCAGCTAAACGAAGCATGAGAGCTCCAAGGATGCGGTGGACTACTACACTTCACTCTCGCTTTGTTCATGCTGTCGAGTTATTGGGTGGCCATGAAAGTATGCTCACTTTTCTTTTAACTCTCTTTAATTATCTTCTTCTTTCCCACCATTTTCTTTTGATTTTACCATCTTAATTAGAGAACAAAAATTAAATCTGACTTAACATGTTCATTTTTTGTTGAAGGAGCTACACCTAAGTCGGTTCTTGAGCTAATGGATGTCAAAGATCTTACCTTGGCACATGTTAAATCTCATTTACAGGTTAACAATTAAGCTTCTGCTTAACTATTATCGCTTGTGTGTTTCTTGTTTTCCGATTTCGACAGTGATAGCTAAACAGTACATACCTAAATTCCTAATTCTTTTTTTAGGTTTTTCTCTTTTGTGGTTTATTTAAGTGTCTGAGGAATAGAATCTTCAAATATATTTTGGTTTCCTTCTTATTCTTGTTGCCATTAAGCTTAAGTTGTTGATCTAGTTTTTTTAATGGGGTTCATTAGAGCAAGGACTTAATAAGAAAGATTACAAATTCCAATGTTTCTCTTGGCAGAGCGTCCCTCAAATCCTCAGCACTTCTTTTTCTACTAGATCTGATGCTTCTGCAACTTAATATGCAGCTTTTTGCTTGGAAGAATGAACCACACCCTAAGTAAAAGCAAATATTTAAAAAAAAAAAAAAAAAAAAAAAAAAAAAAAACAACAACAGCAATTACTAAACCAGAG